TTTGATGCCTAGGAACGATCCGTTGATTTACAAAAAAAGTAAATCAACTGATCATTCACCTCTTGCTGGGCTGCCACGTGCATATTATATAAAACACATTTCACTTCACTATAAACCTGGATTTAGATTGAATAATTAACCCAGACACAATAAATGCCAGTTGGGAACCTTTGTCAGGTAATCTAAGTGGTGCTACCACTAATTGTACCTGTAATAAATTCTTTAACTGAGCATCAAGTGAATGACGACAAATACACAAGTGTAGGGATATACCAGAAATCGTGGATGACAACAAGGGAGTAGTAATCGTATTATCGACGCAATCCGAAATCCGAAAATGCGTTCACTGCATGGATACTTTTTTATTATTAAACTATAACCACCTGGGGTATTTCCAAATGACAACATCCTATGAGCTCCGCCGTTCTTTTTGTCTGTTTGTTTAGGCTGAAGAATTTAATTGACATTTGCCCTTTGTCAAAATCTTTATAGATCACAGTTAACCAATCAGTGTTCAAAACTGCCTAAAACAAATATTGCCTCCAGCCTCCAAGTTTATTTAGCTGTCCTTGCAGACGGTAGCCCAGTCTCTGGTCACGCTCAGTTGCGCTGCGTATCATCCAGGTACTCACGGAGGAAAAAATCAACAAAACAAAGGCAACAACCAGTCTGGGGAATTGCGTTAGATCAGTGCCCCTTTAAGAAAAGTAAGATGCTCGCAAGGTGTACATTGCATAATAGTAAGATGCTCGCTTGGTGCATATTGTAGCATAGTAAGATGCTCGCTTGGTGTATAGTGTAGAATAGTAAGATAATAGCTTGGTGTAAAGTGTAGAATAGTAAGATATATAGGTGTATATTGGATGTCCCGAAATGAAACGTAAAGCATGAAACATTTAATTCCTTGCAACAACGTTTCAGGGCTACACTCTGCCCATATATCTGCCATTGTTACTTATTGCTCCTTCATCAGGCGATGTAACATTGCATTCTTCGGCTGCTTTTTCTCACGGGCACAATAATGTGTCTAGAAGCAGTGACTCAAAAGATACTTTGAGGCTGATGACAATGCTAGGCTCCTCCGTGCATAACACTAACACAATGGGTTTAATACACTCGTAAAAACTTGTCCATCTGTCCCGGTATAGACCACAACCTCCCTGTTAGTAGTCCTCTGGTTGAAACATGTTAGGTCAAAATCTATTTTTGACTTTGAGTGAAAAGTCATCTATAAAAAACAACCCAATATTGGCCTAATTACCAACATTTACCAACAAAGTCGAGAAGTAGCATCTGCAAAAGAACATAACATTTATAGCAACCAGGAAAGCAGTAGAAATTACACTTTAAGTTCAAGGGAACATTCTAAATGGACATTACAATTGTAGCACTCAAATTTACACCTACAACATCATAGAAAGAAGAAGACAGTACATATACAATTTATTTGAACGGTTGAAATTGACGTTACATTGACATTGCGCTAAAACAAATATAGCTAGTGATAGTGATAGCCAGTGAAGATTATATCTAGAGTACTAAGGAAAGCAGCAAGTACAAGCCGACATTACAATTATAGGGCTTAGTGGACATTTTTAATGGGAGTTAATATTATAGTGCTCAACATTAAAATCTAAAGAGTTTACTAAAGAAGTATTACCGACAGTTGACATTACATCGTGAGTGCTAACGAAGCAGCAACTGCTAGTGGACCTTACACCAAGAGTGCTCAAGGACGCAGCTACTGGCAGTTGACATTACCCCTTCAGTTCTAGAAGGCAGCTACTAACACTGGGTATAACATCCATATTGCTCAAGAAGCAGCAACTAACAATGGACATTATAATCTATATTGCTTAAGAAAGCATACGCTGTGAGTTGACATTACAAGTCGAGTGCTCAGGAAGCAACTGCTGACAGTGGACGTTAAACCTACAGTTCTAGAAGGTAGATGCTGACAGCGGACATTAAACCTACAGTTCTAGAAGGCAGCTGCTGACAGTGGACACTAAACCTACAGCTCCAGAAGACAGCTGCTGACAGCGGACATTATATCTACAGTTCTAGAAGGCAGCTGCTGACAGCGGACATTACATCTACAGTTCTAGAAGGCAGCTGCTGACAGTGGACATTAAACCTACAGTTCGAGAAGGCAGCTGCTGACAGCGGACATTACATCTACAGTTCTAGAAGGCAGCTGCTGACAGCGGACATTACATCTACAGTTCTAGAAGGTTGCTGCTGACAGTGGACATTAAACCTACAGTTCTAGAAGGCAGCTGCTGACAGTGGACATTACATCTACAGTTCTAGAAAGCAGCTGCTGACAGCGGACATTAAACCTACTGTTCGAGAAGGCAGCTGCTGACAGTGGACATTAAACCTACAGTTCTAGAAGGCAGCTGCTGACAGCGGACATTAAACCTACTGTTCTAGAAGGCAGCTGCTGACAGTGGACATTAAACCTACAGTTCTAGAAGGCAGCTGCTGACAGCGGACAATAAACCTACAGCTCTAGAAGGCAGCTGCTGACAGTGGACATTAAACCTACAATTCAAGAAGGTAGCTGCTGACAGTGGACATTAAACCTACAGTTTTAGAAGGCAGCTGCTGACAGTGGACATTAAACCTACAGCTGTAGAAGGCAGCTGCTGACAGTGGACATTACTTTTGGGGTCTTTTAAGAAAGTGGCAACTGACAGTGGACATAACACCAATAGTGTTCAAGGATGCAGTAACTACCAGAGGAAGTTACATGAATACTGCTCAAGAAAGCAGCAAATACCAGGGTTCCTGATATAACAAAACTTTTCCCATCAGTGTTTCTATCCTAACATTTCGATTTATCACAATACCAGACGTATATCGGCAGGTAAATAACGCCAATGGACGAACAACACGTTCGTGTTGCAGCATCAATCTGTACCGATGACACCCTTTTACTGGTTGTGTTTCTACGTCAATAACTTACACTAGATGGTTTCATGAACCCCGTCCTTATAATATAATTGGTAGGTTTCTCGGCAGGATAACGCCAATGGATTACAACGATATCCGTTGGTATCAAATGCGGATAGAGATGCAAATATCAAAGATCAAGTTTGGACTACTAAAAGTGGGGTAAAACCATACTCACTCACTCACTCACTGAGGCTTGGAACCTTTTCTCACATAAAAATAGTTGCATTTGGCCGAAATATGTCTGACGTTACTGCGTTTCACTTTATCTATAAATGTATGTTACAACCCTTAATGTAAAAATATTCTCAGTGTATTGGTTTTCTTAACATTAAAGGTTGAAGTGATAGATCATATTCTTTTTACATTAAGGGCTAACAATATGAAATAATACTTATCGAACATTCATGAAACTTGCAGTTTTAACTGACCGTTGTTTTGACCAGACTAATCGTACACCAGAACCATAATATTACAAACGACAGGAATTCCAATGCAATGATGTTTTGTTAAAAAAAACACCCTGTCGGTTATCCATGTGCCGTGTCGAGTCAAATATAGCCACTTAAAGTTATATATTTTTCTGATATGAAGTCTATACCCTTTCTATATCCTGTAGTAAGACCATTGTTGATTGAAAACAGCGAAAACAAGAGCATAAGGCATACCTGTAGAGAATGTCATGTCAGATAGGTATGGACCTTTCGATCTTCTGGGTGAGCTGACATAGGTTCAACGCGAAACTTCGTACAATGTGAGCTGTCTTTTTATATAGTTTATGAATAAACTCGTTTTGAAATGTGAATAGATTTTGGATGACGGATGACGCACGGCGAACAAAGACGGAAAGCAATACGACACATAAGCCTTTCGAACAGCTTGCGTGCGTGGATAAAAAGTAAGCTTGACTTGAACTGTCCCAGGGGATATAAATAAAGGCATGTGGTATAGTGTATGTAGGCTACACCTGCGTACATATCTGAAAGAAATCGATGTACTAGTTTAGAAATTGTCCAGATAAATTCAAATGACATAGAAACATGATAAAAAAAAAAACAATTACGAAGTGCCCAACAACATCTTCTGGTGTCCTCTGCCGTGATATTGCTGGCATATTGCTTAAAGCAGCGTAAAACCATACTCACTCACTCTGAATATTTGGAAAGATGTAAAATTCAGATTTTCAGACATTGACAAATTAACAAAAAGCGATATTTATTTTGATATGGTATAGGTTACAAACTTTACATTTTTTTAAATTCACGAGTAATATTGAAATGTCGTCCACGTTTATTTACAGTTATACCACTCAAATAGTTCTCACATGAAGTGGATGTTTTACACTAAGCATGATAAGACATTTTGGGGCTTTCGGGTAGATCACTGTGCCTAACCTGAGAAAAGTTATCTTTTAACCGCTGACGTAACATATTTTAAAAAAAAAAGTTTTATCACCCCATATTACACCAAATCACTGAATCCTAATCTGAAAATAAGAGTTTTAAGTTTCGTTACCCAATTTACGTGGTCTTGTTCATCGTACAACCGCAACATATTGTAACATATTTTGGGTAAACAAGATTCCTGAAAATTGAAAAGGATGTGTAAAGAATTGGGGTAGAATAGGTCTTCAGCAACTCATGCTTGCTGACAAAAGGCGACTATGCTTGTCGTAAAAGACAACTATCGGGATCGGGTGGTCAGGTTCGCTGACATGATTGATGAATGTCATTGTATCTCAAATGCGTGGATCGATGTTCATGATGTCAGTCACTTGATTGCCTGGTCCAGACTCGATTATTTACAGATCGCCGTCATAAAGCTGGAATATTGATGAATGTGGCGTTAAACAACAAACAAACAAGCAAATCCAAGTACAATGATAAAAACATTTACAGTTAAATCTGCTATATTCCTTGCAATGTAAGATATACTTTTGGCTGTTGACTCGCTATAACAGCCCTGGCCACCCCGTTATTACCCTGAGGCTGAGTTAATCTTTGACCTTGACCGCAGCACCCGCTCCTGGTCCACGGCTGACGATGTTCCACTTGAGTCGCGATCTGAACCTTATCTGCTTCCAAAGTAGTAGCTGGCATGTCCTCAATAACGAGCCTGCCATTCTTTTAATAGCACTTCTTGTTCTCAGAATTGAGCTAAGTCACTTTCTCCCGTTGTCGCTTATTACGAATAATTACAAGAAACCAAGCAAAAACAATAATAAAATGTGAAAATACCAAAAGTACCCTATATTTCAAATCAAACTTTGTTTTTAAGAATCTTTTACAATAAGGGGCGATATGAACGATATTAACCCTTAATGTAAAACAAATACATTACGGGTTGTTTTTTTACATTAGGGGTAATTTTTACTTTAAGAGTAAATTTTACAGTAAGGGTTGTACCAACTGTACAACTGAAGGAACTTCGTAACGTTATGACGGGACAGGCAATTTCCAAACAAACGTGACGTCTCATAGACTAGGTAAGGAGTAGCTTCCCTTAGTTTGATAAAGGGCAGTTACACTTCCGGACAGACCGATGGGTTGCCTCGAAAGGCAAGTAGTAACAATTTGTGTGGGCAATTGTTGGTTTTCCTGTGTATAGTTACGCCACTGTATAAGAAACAGGTTTCTGTTGGAACTATAATGACTGACACATCACTTACCTTCTGACGTAATATATATTAATACGCACATTCCTGGGTAACTTGCAATCTTTAGGTAATGTTTCTGAGAGAGGGAAGAGGTTCTTCGAGGACAGATTAGAGGAATAACATCATATGATAAAAAGGGTTATCGCGCGTTTGTGTGTGTGCGTGTGTGTGTGTGTGTGTGTGTGTGTGTGTGTGTGTGTGTGTGTGTGTGTGTGTGTGTGTGTGTGTGTGTGTGTGTGTGTGTGTGTTGGGGATGACAAATATCCTGTAATAGGAATATACACGTTGTATACGCGTTGTTTTCACACTATTGCAGAAATCAATAACTTCTATTAGAATCTTCATAAACCAGTCATGTTTAATGTGTACACAAAGAGCACAGCTATTTTTTTATACATCACTCTTTCACTCATTCTCCATTCACAATCACCAACCCACGCATGCACACCTTTCAAAGAGACTATCGTGACATATAAGTTAAGGGTTGACTTTTCACTGTATTTCATAGCGTGCATGTCTCTCTCTTTTTTACAGAAATTCCCTAGGCACAGTGGGTGGATGTGTATTTTCCTGCAGTAGGAAGTTTGGAATGACTATATATATCTATAAAGCTTGGGAAAGCGGAGTAAAAAGGTACCACATTCATGCGGGAAAAGGTGATTTTACGTTGACTGAATTTGAGAATGTAAACGGAATGTCGTACATCAAGCTCATTAAATCGTATTATGATGGTTCATTTGCCTTTGCCATGTCTGATTATGCTTTATACTTAATCAGGTATTTAGATGGCAATGAGCAAACGGTATTGAAAGTCCGAAATAAATTTCATACAAATGTTGCACTTGTATGGACCAACACATCCATTTTGGTTTTTGAACTTGAAGGTGTGAGACGTAAAGTGTTTAGCATAAGGTGCCTTAAATTCTAATTAATTTCGTAAAACCACTGTAGCTGGGGTGTGTCTGGGAGTTGAGCGTAACAAAATTGTCACAGAAATTTCCTCCAAATACCCTTTTGTCATAGATAAAAGAAGAAAATATTGTCTGCCACCAAAAATATTATTGTTACAAGCTGTTAATATTTATTTATCCTCCGCCAGATTACTTTTCAATGACCTAAATTAGTGCAATATATGGTGTTGCATCTTGTCAATACTAAACACATGTGAATCGAGGGTTGTCATCACCATTCTGATGCATCCCATACAGCATACAGTATATCACGTACACGATACAGTATATCACGTACACAATACAGCATATAACATAGAGAATATAGTATATCACATACTCAATACAGTGTATCACGTACACAATACAGCATATAACATAGAGAATATAGTATATCACATACTCAATACAGTGTATCACGTACACAATACAGCATATAACATAGAGAATATAGTATATCACATACTCGATACAGTGTATCACGTACACAATACAGCATATAACATAGAGAATATAGTATATCACATACTCGATACAGTGTATCACGTACACAATACAGCATATAACATAGAGAATATAGTATATCACATACTCGATACAGTGTATCACGTACACAATACAGCATATAACATAGAGAATATAGTATATCACATACTCAATACAGTGTATCACGTACACAATACAGCATATAACATAGAGAATATAGTATATCACATACTCAATACAGTGTATCACGTACACAATACAGCATATAACATAGAGAATATAGTATATCACATACTCGATACAGTGTATCACGTACACAATACAGCATATAACATAGAGAATATAGTATATCACATACTCAATACAGTGTATCACGTACACAATACAGCATATAACATAGAGAATATAGTATATCACATACTCAATACAGTGTATCACGTACACAATACAGCATATAACATAGAGAATATAGTATATCACATACTCAATACAGTGTATCACGTACACAATACAGCATATAACATAGAGAATATAGTATATCACATACTCAATACAGTGTATCACGTACACAATACAGCATATAACATAGAGAATATAGTATATCACATACTCGATACAGTGTATCGTGTACACAATACAGCATATAACATAGAGAATATAGTATATCACATACTCAATACACTCTATCACGTACACAATACAGCATATAACATAGAGAATATAGTATATCACATACTCGATACAGTGTATCACGTACACAATACAGCATATAACATAGAGAATATAGTATATCACATACTCGATACAGTGTATCACGTACACAATACAACATATAACATAAAGAATATAGTATATCACATACTCTTTACAGTGTATCACGTACACAATACAGCAGATAACATAGAGAATATAGTATATCACATATTCGATACAGTGTATCACGTACACAATACAGCATATAACATAGAGAATATAGTATATCACATACTCAATACAGTGTATCACGTACACAATACAGCATATAACATAGAGAATATAGTATATCACATACTCGATACAGTGTATCACGTACACAATACAGCATATAACATAGAGAATATAGTATATCACATACTCAATACAGTGTATCACGTACACAATACAGCATATAACATAGAGAATATAGTATATCACATACTCTATACAGTGTATCACGTACACAATACAGCAGATAACATAGAGAATATAGTATATCACATACTCGATACAGTGTATCACGTACACAATACAGCATATAACATAGAGAATATAGTATATCACATACTCGATACAGTGTATCACGTACACAATACAGCATATAACGTCGAGTATATAGTATATCACATACTCAATACAGTGTATCACGTACACAATTCAGCATATAACATAGAGAATATAGTATATCATGTACAGGATACAGTGTATCACGTACACAATACAGCATATAACGTAGAGAATATAGTATATCACATAGTCGATACAGTGTATCACATAGACCATACAGCATATAACGTAGAGCATATAGTATACACAATACAGCATATAACGTAGAGAATATAGTATATCACATACACAATACAGCATATAACGTAGAGCATATAGTATACACAATACAGCATATAACGTAGAGAATATAGTATATCACATACACAATACAGCATATAACGTCGAGTATATAGTATATCACGTACACGATACAGTATATCACGTATACAATACAGCATGTCATGTAGAGCATATAGTATATCACATACTCGATATAGTATATCAGGAGCACAATACGGGATATGGGAAAAGTTCATGAAGATTTTATCTCAAGTAATGATTTATGCCACTTCAATGATGGTAATAACAAATATCTGCATCCTGCCACTGACACATACTCTGCCCTTGACCTTTAACTGACAGATTCAAATATTTCAAATGAATTTAAATGGTCGGTTCATAGGGACCTTTGTAGAAATGACCATTTTTCGACTATAAATCCATCTGACAAACAACCTTCAACAAGTTTGGACTTTTTTTGTTTTTCAACCAAACTAAAACCCGACAGTTTTAGGAATGTTCCTGATCCTGTACAACTTTTTTTCAGATACATTATTATACGTACACCATGGTTCAATAATGATTGTAGACAAGCTAGAAAAAATATGAAGAATCTGAGAAATATTCCAGTCGACATCCCACTGTCCACAACTTGGATATCATTAAAATCACGAACACTAAAGCTAGACGTACATTTAAACCAAATATACGTTAACCCTTGAGGAACTATATTTCTAAAATCAATTCCAGCAAACCCATGTCCACGGTGTGAAACATGATTAAAAAAATAAAGGGCAAAGGAACTAAATCAGGAGTTCACCATCTTAAAGATGGTAATACACTATTAAACACAAAATCTGAAATTGCCAACAATCTTGTTGAAACTTTGGCAAACCATTCCTTATCATCAAATTATAACCCTCAATTCAAGAGGTATCAAAAACATCAGGAAAAGAAGAACGTCAATTTTAACTCTGATAATTGGTGAGGACTATAATGAAACATTATCACTCCATGAATTACATGCTGCCCTGGGGCAAGCTCGTGACACTGCAGCAGCAGCCGACAGCATCCACTATCAGCTCCTGAAACACTTGCCCAATTCATATTTGGAAATGTTACTTAATATATTTGATGTAATATGAATAACCGAAAATGTTTCTCTTCGTGGCACAATGCTATTATCATTCCTATTCAAAAGCTTGGGCGGGATCATACAGATCCATCCAATTACCGTTAAATATCATAAACTAGCTGGAGCGCATGGTCAACAATTGATCAGTCTGGTACTTGGAGACCAATAATCTACTCAGTGACATCCAGTGTGGTTTCCGAAAAAAACAGAGGTACCTCTGACCATTTGGTGCATCATAATTAATAGTCTCACTAAGCTGTTAAACAACAGCGTTGATGATTCACTTTTCGTAGACGATTTCAACATTTCTAGTCATGGTTGGAATATGACCAGAAACGGGCTTCACGCATTGTACCCATGTTGGCAATCGAATTCGGGTCTTCGGCTGGACGAGCGAACGCTTTACCCACTAGGCTACCCGACCGCCCCACGCTAGAAAGACAATTCAAATTGCAAAGCTGCTAGTGCCACCATCATTGGATTCAGAACTGTTTCCTCAATAATCCCAGATTATCATTCAATTTTTACTGCTGAGGCCAAAGCTATCTCAACAGCTTTGACCTATATTCAACAAACAAAAACAACTAAAAATTGCATCATCATCTCTGACTCGTCTTGTCTTAAAAGTGTCTGCTGATATCACCCTATTATCCTTGACATTTTAGAACTCTATAATGATCTTCCTACTGGCCAATGTGACATCGTCTTTTGCTGGTTGCCAAGTCATGTAGGCATAATAGGTAACTCAAAGGCCGATGCTGCAGCTAAAGCAGCTCTTGACAAACCGTTAGCTCCACTACTGATCCCGTATATCGATTTCAAACCAACTATTAAAAGTTTACTCCGGATCTCATGCAAAAGAGGTGGGACACCCGGGTAGGAAGTAATAAAGTTCATGAATTGAAACCAACAATCGGTCATACCTTCTTGGGTTGTCAGTCAAGACATGATGAGGTCGTTTTATGACGATGTCGTATTGGCCACAGTCGGTTTACCCACGAATATCTGCTTAAGACAGATAAGGACGAACCTGCTAAGTGTATCCCTGGTGATGAAAGGTTCACCGTCAATCATATATTGCTTGACTGTGTGAACTTTGAAATCGCAATGGATTCACATTATCAGAGTGTAAATCTGAAAGATATCTTTCCTGAAAGAAATTGGTCTGTAAAATGCATTCTATGTATGTCAATAATAAATGCTTGTTTTTAAATTTAGTGTGATGCTATTATGAACAGACATTATTGGAGGCTCTGTCCAGGTTGGCGTACCATAAAAAAACATTAACGCCCTGTGTGACACGTAATCTTATCATAAGATGTAACTATCATCAACCAAGGTTTTTCAGCCAACTCGTTGCTGAGTATTTCTTAATATTGGCTAGTATTATGCACAACACCAGTAGCTAAAGTGATGACGTAAATCCTGCTGGGGTATAATGCAGGAAGCCGAGGTACTGAAAGTCCCCAAGATCCCCAGCGAGGTGGCCCATCTTTGGTTACTGGTGACCTATAGCCCTTGTTTTTAAAATGTATACATGATCTCGTTATGCTCAAAAGAGTTCAATAAGTTGTTTTTAAATATAACTTTGCATTAATGTCTCAATTGTTTACATATTAACTTGGTCTCGTCATTATATGGCTGAAATAATACCTATGCGACGTTTTATTGTAACTCAATCACTCGCTACTGTCGTGCAGGTATCTCCAAAGAAAAACAATCATTTATATAGTGACATTCTTTTTTTTAAAAATACCTGTTTGTTGTTTTATTGTTTAGAAAATCCCGTTGCAAATACTCTCTTTGCATGGAACAAATATAGGAACGAATGCTGTTTGTGATCCATTGGGCATTCCATACAGCCAGATCTTATCACAAGTTTTTTCTCATGTTCATCTCAGCCTCTTCAGCACCTACCTCAATACCTCGATCCACATTCTGTACCCACCATCATGTATTACATGTGTCTGCTATTTATAATTGGGAGTCCCATATGTAAGGTATGTCCTTCAAATGTTTAGTCAACCAAGATCCACACTATTTGGATCACTCGTAAGTTTGTGTATTAGTTATTTACACGAGCACGAAGGAAAGTTGATAGGAATGTTAGAGGTTGTTAGTGAGATAGTTTGTTGTGTATGTTTTGTAAAGGTTTAATATTTATACATCCATTATATTGAATGGTCATGCTCTAATACTATTAAGATGGTGATAGTGTGTGTTATGCATGTATATTGTATTTACCATGGCGTTGGAAGATATAGTTAAACTCTGACGCTATATAATAAAGTGTTAATATTTGAGACCTGGAGAACAAGAGAGTAAGCTTGAAGAAAAATATAGTTTTGGAGCGAAAAAGAAACATTTAGTTTTAATCAGATTATATGCTTTGTGTTCATAATGCTTCCTGATTGTGACAAGCTTCCTGATTGATGGACCGCCACTGTTGTATTTTATTGCTTATCCTAAATGTATATTAAATATCGATTTAGTATTTTATGTGCTACATGAGACAAAAGGCAATATGTATCCACTAGAATTGTACGCGATATCTTATTTTTTTTACGTTTTAAGCAATATTAATTTCCCTCTTGTTTTTACTTACATTTTCTGCTGTAAGTAAATAACCATTTCGGCAACATGTATGTACAACATATTCTTAAAATACCAACGCTGCAAAGTGTAATTGTCACATACTTACGTTAATTATAATACTTATCCGTATTGCAATTGCAAGTAAAATGTGTTCAGATTAACTGTCGACAGCCACTTGGGATGAGAGATGGTCCGAGCAGAGATCCGCGCTTGTGTCTCCCGGGTATACATCCCCTCTGAGAGATACTCCAGAAATGTATATCAGTTCGAATTGCAGCGTCGGTGCAGTCGTCCCTACCGTTTGAAGATCACCTGGTTTATACATGTATCTCTGGAGAATGTAATACCTTCTGTGTATTTAGAGCTGGTCAATCTGTGTATTAGAGCTGACAAGTTGGTATTATTGCACTTTACGCAAGCTGTGATGAGTCCAGATGATAATTGTCTGGCTTGTTTACAGGCCGCCGTTGCATAGCAGGGGTTTGCTTGTGCGGCGTCAGGCAATAAATACTTACTATTTATACAAGCTGTGTACGTGGCGGGTACTACCGGTAGGGAAGGACATGCCTACCTTTTCCTCGATCACCTGGTGTTATTACTGGTTGTCAGTGGTCAATTCATTTTCACAGCTAGTTTGACCTTCACCCCAAAATATAACCTGTTTCGGCGGATAACATAAACTTGTTATTATCGTGCATTGACATTTTATATTTATGTTCACCCTTAAAGCTTGTAAGACAATTTGTCTCTGGTTATTTTCAAGTGTATGATCTGAGTGCCCTTATTTGCGTATTCTAGTAGTCTAGTGTTTATGCACGTCAGGTCTTAAAATATTTTGACACTTGTGTTGAAGCTTTATTGCTGCTAAGGTGGCAGCACTTTATATAATCTCTAAGATACCGATGCCATTTGTTATGCTCATCACAATACCACTACAGATACAAAGTGTACTGCTTATAACACAACTTGTTCATTCATTCGGAAAACAATCTAAAAACGTTATAACTAAACATTTTAACACACCTTCAAACAGTAGTGGAAACACTGTTGAAATATATGTTTATTAGGTTGTAATCACAATCATGAAACATGCAATAATCTGCCAATTATCATGTGAGATGAAACCAATAACAAATAATAGAAGATGATGTGTAAATATATGTTTGATGTATTTCATTGTATATATCACAACTGTATATATGTATGTGAATGTACTCACTTGTATTGAGTTTCTGTAAAAATGGTCCACAGTAAATTATTGTACATCACACAAATTCTTATCCCACGTAATTATTGCTTAGCCATCAGACAATTCATTTATCGATGTACTTATACTTATTGTCCACTGTACTCCATTCACAACTTTTATTAAGGACGTGAGGATGAGTCGTATATTTAGTATGGATCTCGACCCTTTGTAGAGGCACATTCATAAAAGGTCATGAGTAAGATCATCCTGATTGGCCACTGCACTAGATGCAACGGAGATGTTGACGAGGTACTAAATGGTCTGGTCGTATTACCATATTAGGTATATGGAAAGCAACCTTAGAATGTATATGCAGGTACATTTACGCCAGCGAGTTATGGGCACATGAAGCTGATATTGGAAATCAGAACGTCTTGTTGTGAAAAATAAATGTTGTGAACGTTCAGGAGGACTTGCGTTGTCATTATCGAAGTATCCAGTACAATGCCAACTTCTACTCGGGCCATGTACTTGTGGGTTTCATCAAAGAGGTAAACATTATCACATATCTGCATGTTTTCGTATCGTTACTGGCAAACCAAGCTGACAAGCAATACTAAACTGAAATACTGCTAAAATCAGTGTTAAACCCAACTCACTTGAGCTCAGTCACAAAACGAACGTGAAAGATGCGTTTTCCGACTCCAACCTCAGATTGTTTCTTCGTTTTTTTGTTTTGACTAAGGATCATATCTAGCAAAGAGTCTGTCTTGAGTAGAAAAGGATTCGGTTGAAGGAATGATAGGACTGTAGCATAGGCATCTGTTTGTGATCAGTAGTGTTAGGTGCTAGAGCAAATGTGAACATATTCTGCATTGCCAATAGACATGGCAGCTAGATGCAAAGCTTAATGTTATTAAATCGTCATCGTGGGATCAGAGAGTGTGAGTAGGTGAGTGTGTTGCTCTATATTCCGCTAACATCACGGCATGTCAGCTTTTTAGGGAAGGAACGTTCTAAGTTATGTAGACCTTAGACAATTAGCAAGTTGATGAAACCCAGGAGCACAGGTATGGTACTGACAAGCCAAGAAACATAAACTGGGCTACGAACAAACGGCTTTTCATTTCTGGCATCTTCAGATTACTCCACACATGCTAATGACACTCTCCACATTTTGGCAGTTCACGCAAACGCAAGTCAATTGTTCACCAAATATAACATGGCAACATGTAGTACAAGTCAAAGCAAGAACTGTTTATGTATAAGCTTTAGAAGGTCTGGGATGCTGTCACCCTGGCCAAACAACTTTTTGAGGAAGAGCCATGATGTACAGTACATGCATGTGATATAGGTGATGAAATAATACAAATTCAGGAAGTAAAACTTGTTGACACTATTGATGACAATATGTGCAATCAAATACTGGAGTATGTATAACCAGAAGATCATGATGAAGACTTTGGCTATGATTCTGTCAACATGTGTGTGTTATTTCTCTGTTATGTTTATTGAGCAGGGTTACGTAGGCCATCAGCCCATGTCACAGCAGTTGTACAGCAGCCTTTATTGTAATTGAAATATATATCAGCAGTTTTGTCCTTAATTGCCTATACTTATAAATATACATAGCCAAATGTCTGATATTACATGTATCACTTGTCATATAGACATTGAATTTATGTAATGTGGGATATACATAGTAATTTCTCGGAATGTACTGTTCATGCAATTCAGCATACACTGTGCATACAAACAAGAAATGATTCTCATCCTCAACGAAACCTTTTCTACAAACATTGCAAAACCTTTCATTTCTTGGAACATTTGTATTTCTGCCAGACTCAATCTTTAGTTGGTGAGAACTACATCTAAACTTTGATAATGCTACACGAAACTGGAGTTTCCTGTCTCCAGCCGACATGAATCTCACGATCAACAACAAGCCGTCCATTCCTGATGTATCCTGTGTAGTTCTCTGTCGGAAGTCTGACAACACGTTCCTTTGTTTCCTGGTCAAGTCACTAGATATTCCATAAAGTTTAAACTTCAGTAGATCCCGGCACTGGAGAGATCTAATATTGCTGTTGGTGGTGTGAAATCGGATATATATCGATCGTGGTCTTTTTCCAGGGTGCGTTGGAGAGCCAATCGTATGTGCTTCTGATATATCCTCCACTGAGAACTGTTCCTCTGAGTGACTATTTAGAACGCCGAGTATCAGTGTTTTACAGTCACCTTCCCCCTCGCGATCACCTGTGTACTCACTCACTCCATGAAGAATGCCATTACTCTTACGGCTGTATTGTTCTAATTGTTCAATGTTATGTTGTAGATATTTCCCTTCCAGCCAGGCTGCCCCTTACCACAATCTCCATTGCCAAGCCTCTCTGTACTTGCATCAAGATCCAAACGAAGTATGTGATGCTGAGTCCTAACGTTCTCGATATGTATTTCCCTTTCAGCCAGCTTCCTAGGATCAGACTTAATATATCTGATGTCCCGAGACAGGTCTCTCTTCACTGAAGACCGCCTCTGTGGTCTTGTGGTAGAGCGTCCGCCCGGAGAGCGGAAGGTCCAGGGTTCGATCCCGGCCGCGTCATACAAAAAGACGTTAAAAGAATGTACTTGTTGTTACCCTGTCTGGCGCTCGGCATTAAGGGGCTAAAACAAGGACTGGTCGGCTCGGAGTCAGTATACTGTGTCTGAGTGGGGTATTCCTGTTAAACTGCGGCATGGTATCTCAGTGAGCTAGCACTATAAATCGGCATCAGTCCGGACTAGTACAAGCAGCCACACACACACATACACGTGCATGCACGTCGCTATATAAGTGCAATAATCTTGGACGCGACGTTAAACCCAATTTCACCTCACCTCACCTTTACTGACCGAAGCCCTCGTAAAATTTCTTCCTTTATACTTATAAACTCGCCCATCTCGCTAGACTGACTGTATGGACCAGGGTTTAGTTCGATTTCTCCTGATAAAAGCAAGCTGTGAAAACACTGTATAGTTGTAGGCATCATGACAATAGTACACAGTATAAGAGCACTGGCTAAGAGACGATAGCCCAAGTCCATGCTGTAAGTCCACTTCGTGTACGGGGTGGACAAGTCAACATGGCCGACTTGCCTCAAGCCTGGTGGGTGACAAAAGAGCCCTATCCTTGCCCTCCATCTTTCTACCGAGCAAACCAAAATCAATTTTCGTTTCCACAAAAGAGCCGCAGACAACTTTGAAATTATTTTTGGATAATTAATTAAGAAACAACAACCATACTTACAACTCTGTCTTGACAGATGGATCCTAGGATGGTGACACAGTTGCTAGCGCCACTGTAGTTGAATCCAGAACAATATCATCCAGATTACCAAATGACAGTTCAATATTACAGCAGAATCGAAGGCAATCTAAACAGCTCGCACATATATAAACAATAAATCTAAGCATACACAGTTCATTATATTTTCTGATTCCCTTTCCTGTCTTCAGGCTATTAAAAATATGTCTTGTAAACAAAAGGACTTCCAAGTCAGCAAACGAACCAGACATATGTTGTTAATGGAAACTTTAGGTCTTAAATGATCTTAATGTGACGTACATATTTCCTTCATATTATTGAACATGTAGAGGAGTGGGACTATGATATTACCTCCGTTACATTACAACGTATACTTCATATCGAGCACATCGTTTGTATGGTCATAAAATTTGTTCATAAAACTGTAATTGCTTTTCCCCGTAAAAAAACACTTTATGACATAAAACAGCTGATCACCACAAGCACGTAAAACCGGACATACCAGTCAACAAATCCGAAGTACCCAATTTGATCCTATTATTATACTTTTGGGTTATAATATTAAAATGAATTCACAGAAGAAATCAATATCTGGAATTATGTTTCTGATATATTTTATATATTTCATTCAAAATTGCATTCTATATTTGTTTACATTCATTTGGGAGAAATGGTTATAACTCACCGTTATTTACAGCAACCACGGTCAGATTACTGTTATTCACGCCTTGAGTTGCCAGAGATTTTCTAAATATATCACAAATGCCATACTTTGACTGTTAAAAAGTCATATTTGTTGCAGTTTGACTTATGTGTCAATAACGTATTCGCGATCGAGAGGATGGCTGGTATATTCAAATAAAGTATTTCAAAAAGATAGGCCAAACGAAGCTTCGAACGTCGACACTAGACTAATACCTCGCATTACAAATTCCAAGAAATGTAATCAACTGCCCGTCATTCAATTTCCAAGAAGCGTGTG